AAAATAAGCGGCATGAAATGTTTTTCAGACATTGAATACGCTGACACTTCGGAAAGAGATTCGCTTTTATCCCTTCTGACACCAAAACTCGATCGTTCTCCTTCTGACGCGTTCAAGTTTTTCGAACTTCCACCAGAACTGCAGCTTCAAATACTGCATGAAGTAAGGGTTTTTTCAGTTACTACTCAGTTCAAATAATGAAACCATTTGCAGTTGCCCTCACGTGATTTGAACTCCTGTCGCCTTACTTGTCAGTGGATGAATAGGTTTATCGTTCGCAATTGGTGTCGGCTTCGTTCACGTGAGATCGGAAGTGTTGATTTCATACCGGTGATTTTTTTCTCCCGCCATAAGGCGATTTCGCTAATCGGATTTATTGTGTTTGACCAGGTTTTCCTTTTCTGAAACGTTTTATAGTTTGGTGCGTCTGCCTGTTTCATGTTTCTCAATGATCCAAATGGAGTTCCCGCTCGCATGGGTTAGAAAAGTTCATTGATATACATATGTGTGTGCCATGTGCAGTTCATCAACTTGCTCAGCAGAGTTATCACTGGAGAAACTGACACAACGAGGTGGCCCGTGTAAATGATGAGAGTGCGAAATTTCGCGCTAAAGAATTGCGGCGCAAGGAGCACGCCCGGATGTGTGCGGTTCGCGCGGTGACCTCTTGTTGTAATACATGGTAGTGGACACCTAATAGTACTCAAGTCTGTAAAAATATTTTTCTTATATGTCAAGAGCTTTGGTGCTCGTGGTTCCCTCCTTTGCGTCCCATTCAGGGGCTGGCGCTAACACGATATTAAGCGTCTGATCTCTACACTCGAAAGATGTGTAGTGCTTGCAAGTTCGCGTCTCGTCATCATGTCTCTCTCCAAGGCGATGTTGATTCCAATACCCTACGCTCTGCTATCTCCGAGGTAAATGATAAAAATGATAAAACTTTTGGCAGTGATGTATCTTCAAGTAAGTAGCACGCGCACTTTATCCAAAATATCCAAAGTCGTGATGCGATTTGGTTGATGCCATGAATTGCGGGGATAAGCTCATGTACAAGTCTGTGTTTTTATCCTCTCACACGCACCAGCTAAACGCGAAATTCGCGATTGAAGAACGTATAGTAGTCCTAGAAAAGTGCGAATTCTTGGGTAAATTACTCTTTGGTGATGAAAACAAGAAACTCTTGAAGAAATGCAAATAGGGCTTACGGACTACTTGATTTTTCCTCAATGGTCCTGCCGCGATGGCTAGAGCACAGACGATTAGAGAACGGGTGAATGCCCTAGGACTAAGCCTTGGAGAGGAGAGGGACCCGCGAGAGCGCAGAGGCGGTTTAAAGGGCTGAGTTCAAGTAGTCCGTCGACCAAGCTGTGGACGGACAAGTTGAATGGGCTCGCGCGTTCGGACGAGTTTGCCAAATACTG